CTACAGAAAGTTGTTACAAGGTTCAATACCATTACTAGAGTTTCTTACAGAGATGATCCAACAATCATGGCATGGGAACTCATTAATGAGCCACGTGACCAAGCTGACTATTCTGGAAAAACTGTTAATGTGAGTCTTAAGAAATAAATTCTTATTTCATTTCCAAATTAGTTATTTAGAAATATCAATGACTGACTTTTTGCTGTAAAATTTTGATTTTTTACTGATATTACTCTAGGTTTGGGTTCAAGAAATGGCAAGTTTTGTAAAGTCACTAGACAACAAACACTTGTTGGAGGTAGGAATGGAGGGATTTTATGGCGATTCGATTCCTGAAAGGAAGCAAGTTAATCCTGGTTATCAAGTTGGAACAGATTTCATCAGTAATCATCTTATCAATGAGATTGATTTTGCCACTATCCACGCTTACACTGACCAGTGGTATATTAACATCTTTTCTGCGCTAAAAAAATCAGATATTCTCGTTACACCATCAATGAATAAAATTATTTTTACATTTACAGGGTATCCGGACAGAGCGATGATGCACAATTGGCATGGATGGAAAGGTGGGTTACAAGCCATTGGCAAGATGCAAGAAATATACTAAAGAAACCTCTAGTTCTAGCTGAATTTGGAAAGTCTAGTAGAGGTCAAGGATACAATCTTGGTTCAAGAGACACATTTATGAGTAGTGTATATAGAAATGTCTATAATTTGGCAAAAGAAGGAGGAATTATGGGAGGAAGTTTAGTATGGCAACTCATGGCACAAGGGATGGAGAATTATGATGATGGTTATTGTATAGTTTTGGGACAAAATCCTTCAACTACAGGAATAATTTCAGGTCAATCGAAGGCCATGACGACTTTGGCTCATCTAGTTTATTGACTGAAGATATATGGAGATTATTATTGTGGAGAATATGAAAGAAATTAAGTTCCAAAATAGGTTCTTCAATTGGATTGTTCTTTTAATTATACAATAATCAATTTATATGATAGGATTTAAGTGATCTTAAGTCCATGATTTTTAGTAATTATTCCAGCTCGATATATCACATTATCAAACATGTGAAGCTGAATGTAATTGCATAAATTGTTTCCGAATTAAAAAAAAAAAAAAGGAATGTTAATTTTTTGTCATCTAAAGGACAGTGTCTTTACATCTTGTTTGGATTTTGTCACCTATTGTATTGTATTGTATCGTATTGTTGCTTTAAATACAATGTTTGTATTGACTGTTACTTAAATTTTATTATATCGTATCGTTAAATTTATTGTTACATAATGATGAAAAGTGCCTCTTTATGGAACGATGAATTTGGTGTGGTAGCATCATTACCTTGCTTTTTTCTCTCATCTTGCGCTTCCTTATTAAGTATTAAATAATCATATTTTATCCTTTACCCTACTCTTTTAATAATAATTCTACTTTGTATCCTATTTTTTCTTAATAATACTGCAAGTTTATTCTTCATATTGTTGGTGTGTAACATCATGAAACGACGGCAACCAATACAATCTATCCAAATATTATATTTATCAAACAATGGAGTATATAATTAAAGCAAATGCCTATATTACATTAGCAGCAGTGAAGGATGTAGCATATAGTCAATTGGTTCAACTTATCCAATATTTTCTTTACTCAGTATAGATACATATGTCAAAAATTACTAAAAAAAAATTAAAAATTGAACCTATATTTTCAAAAAAGTAGTGAGTTCATGGAAACCTAAAGATTAAACATTGAGTTCGTTGTAATAATACACCCATCTTCATTCCCTGGTTTCACAGTGGAAAGGACTAATTTTCCTTTCTCTAACTTGAGAATATCTCATGTAGTCTGTGAAGATGAAAACTTCACTCAATTGATTGCAATCATGCATCAATGAATCCGAAATCTTTTCTCCTTACAAAAAAATGGCAGCCCGATGCACTAAGCTCCCGCTATGCGCGGGGTCCGGGGAAGGGCCGGACCACAAGGGTCTATCGTACGCAGCCTTACCCTGCATTTCTGCAAGAGGCTGCTTCCACGGCTCGAACCCGTGACCTCCTGGTCACATGGCAGCAACTTTTCTCCTTACAATAATAGATTAATTAGTCCGTTTGTGCTTGAATTCATTGTAGTGTATGTCTTTCTCTTGGTTCAAATAGATTTCGGAAATTAGACTTGGGTATTATTCCGCTGCTACCTTGTCGTGCATATTGTTTGTGCCTTATTTTTTCCAACATATACAACTACATACTAATCCTAATTACTTCAATCTATAGGCCCTGAGCCTAAGAATTATCAAAAGATCCGGAGAACTCGGCTTGATCACCATAATTGCTAGCTGAAACTGGTTCCTCATACCACTGGTTGGCTGCCCGAGTGATGAAACTAGCTTCTGCAATTCATAACGACGTATATCTCAAAAGAGAGCAGATGTTCAATTATGCAGCAAACAATGGATTCATATCGCGGGCTATAAAGTTCTGATAGAACACATCATTTCCAAATGTCTACTAGAGTAAATATTCATTAACAATCCGAAAGCAAGAATCTTTTATTGCTTCTTCACAATCAAATATTGTGGTCGTGCCAAGAACGATAAGATCTTTGTAGAGAGTTGGAATAACATAATGCAGACTAACTAGATGCAGATTGAATTATCACGTAGAAGTGACTGTTCGTCGTTTACCTGACAAGAAGACATCCTTGTATTCTTCATCGTCGTAAACAAATTGTGGAGGATCCGGAGAGCCAACCCCTACTATTGTGCTTCCACTGCATTTCAGTTTTGGAATTAGTAACAGTTTCAGGTTTTGAGATCAGTAACAGACTCAAATTAAGACCAAAGTGCACGAATAAGATGTCATTTAAGTATCTATCCTCCCAGAGACAGCAAATGAGATATAATTACATTTTTGGGCCGCCGTAAAAAATTAATATCCGAAAGTTTGCATATTAAGTATAAATATACATATAATATACATATTATATACATAATCAGTGTATATGTTCCGTATATTTTGGCTAGCGCCCGTAATCGGCCGCGGCCAAAATGAAAAAAGCCCTAAAATATTCTCATCAGCCATGAGTCTTGCAGGAACATGTGAGAAAGCTACCTCATATAATTCCATTGTCCAATTTGGCCTTAGGCATTTCATACCTTCCTCCCAAGTGGTTGGTAACGAAAGGATTAAATCGGTCCCCTAAGAGGGCTGTGTGCAACTTACACAATTAAATTTAGACATAAGGCATTTGTAATCAAGTTAAAAGAAGATCACTTCATATAATACATTAATTGAAAAAGTTTTTATATATTTTGCCTCTTCTAATGTGAGATCTAACTCCAAACAGTGGCATAACACTCTTAATTTCGGTTTCTCCTATTGTCCAACATGCCTAATTCATAAGGACACACCCATCTGCTTGAAAACCCTTAAGCACAAGCCAAAAGGATGAGAACTAACACAAATATAGAAAAGAGATAGTACGAATATGAACCAGATTAAGGCAAAAGACTACCTTCCAGACATGAAGACGGCATCATACTGTCCCCTGCCAGCAGCAATCACTCGCTGTTTTAACCTTTTAAGAGATGGAAGAACTTCAAAAGCAGGAGGTTCTGCATGAAATATTATCAATGTCAAATGAGTATAATTCTTATCCCAAAAGAATTTACAGAGTGCAAGATCCACTCTGCTGGTTTCTGAATGGATGCATATTTAAATACTACATTCGACCAATAATAATTCCCACGTCATACATACAGACTCAATGACCTTAGATTAAAAATAATTGATTTTTTTCAAAAAGATAAGCATGTGTGTGTGTGTATATGTATTATATGCATATGTCGATAAGGTGAAGTCTGAACAAATGTTAAGGTGTCTAATTGTCATCCCATACCTAGATCATTGACACACACATCTTGAGATATTCCACTAGTTTTGATCTTCTCCAGCAAGCTCAAGGGATCAACATTACTAGTCTGATCCAATTGAAAACGCTGCGAAACCAAATCTTCTTTTAGATTTTGATAACCAAAATCATATTATTTCATCCTAAACTTGTTCACTAACTTCATTTTGTATCACCTTGTAAACTTCAGCAGTAGAGCATTCTTGCTGAGGCTTTATGAGAACCATTGGAATGTCAAATGGTATGGGCGATGGAATATCTTGAACAACCTGAACAAAAATAAGGCACATTTTCCATAATTGTAATATATGAGACAAGTAATAGTTTTCTATCAATTTACAGAACATTTCAACTGCATTGACCACTACTGTTGCTCGCATGCACCTTTTCCTTGTTTTTCCATATAACAAACATGTAACTACAGAAGGCCATGACAAGATAGCTGAAGACAAAAACTTAGTTCCAAAAGAGTTTGAGAATTCTTTTATCACCATCACTTTGCGAGATTTCAGTTTTCCATCCAATTTGAATTTGTGGGTTCTATGTGGAACCTCAGGCCATCACACAACTTGTTAACGCCAATTATGTAATAACAGCTCCTTTTTTGCATGCCAGTTTTTTAATTCTGAGAAGCACAAAGTCATTTAACACACTTGTCCGAATAAACTACACTTACCCTCTCACGTATCACATAATGAACATGCTTACTAATTCAAAATTATATTTCTTGTGTGAAAGGACGGATTTGTAAAGAAATTCCAAGAGCCAAATAAGCGATCTGTCTAAGGTTTTAGTTGCATTGTATCAACTCCCTGAATTACATTCCATCTTGAAATCAGGAGAAATTACACTTCTCATCTGAAAGGAAGGAGTTGGAAAAAGGTTCTAAATTTGATATCTTACGTATCACATCAAAGTAACAGGCCTTTTTTGTGGACGCAACCCAAGCTGCTAGCCACTTCTCATAATATTTCTTTGTCGACGTTAATGAGTTTGAAGTTTTGCTGAAGAACGTAAAGCATAACAACTAGTCCTAGTTTAAATCTTGCTAACCTTACAGGGTAATCAGAGTCAAATGACCTCATTTACCCCTTTCTCTAGCATCGCCATAGTTGAACAACAGCTCTCTGGCCAAACAGTTTTCTTTTTCTCTTAAGTTCTTTCTAGGATGTGGTTACAGCTTTCCACCCAACCTTTTCAAAGACTGATTAGAGGCACTACTGACCCAAAGAGATGCAAGGACAAGTATATTGCGTGGAATCTCCAAAATGATGTCGCACCCGTGTCGGATCCTCCAAAAATACACTACTTTTGGATGATACAACACGCACCCGGCAACATTCGGAGAGTCCGGGCAACATAGAAACCATAATCTCACACACAATTGGAAGGAATATAACATTTAGAAGTAAGTACAATGGCAAAAGCATACCTCGCCCCTACCCGTACAGTAAGCTGCGCCATGGGAGAAAAAGAAAGAAATATCAGAACCGATCTCACCAGACCACTCTTGGAGCTCCTTTTCAGTGGCAAGACAACCGCTGAATTGATTTGCTGCCCACAGAGCTGTTGCAGCTTTACTGCTCCTTTTGAGTGTATTGGTCTATGTGGAATCTCATGCCATTAATGGTCAAATTTCCAACCTATTAAGTGAGTATTGCCGGAAACAGCCTCTTTATACCTCCGGGGTAGGGGTAAGGTCTGCGTACACTCTACCCTCCCCAGACCCCACCAGTGGGATTCTACTAAGTTGTAGTTGTTGTTGTTGTAAGTGAGTATTGCACTACTCGTTAACAGTAATTATGTGACATCAGCTCCTTTTTACATCACAGCTTAAATTTTACTTTTCTCTTTTTTTTCCCCGAAAACCATAAGGTCATTCGACCCTACTTGTCTCAAATCTCAATAAGCTACACTTGTACCTCTCAATACAACATAATAAACATGCCTACTAATTCGAAATTATACTTCGCGGTGAAAGGATGGAGTCGGCCAAAGGGTCCAAGATCTCTTGCTAATTGCAAAATAAGGGATCTGCCTAAGGTTTCTATGCAATACATCAAATCCCTGAATTACGGTTCCATCTGGAGATCAGTAGAAAAGGAAGGAGTGCAACAAGGTGCTAATCTGATATTAATACAGTTAACTCAAATCACAAGTAACAGGCCTTTTGTGGATGC